GAAGGTGTGGAGTTACTTCATTTAACTCACTTGAAATTTGTACACCTTTCTGAGGGTTGATGTCTTTCATCAGTTCTGGAAAATCTACCTTCATCCTTCCAAATATTACCTATTTCCAATGCCCTCCTTTTAAGATACTGAGAGATACACGTTGGGCCTTCTCAGCCTGTCCTCCACATCTCTTCACCTAACTCTTCCATTTCCACCCGCTTGTCTCTGCGTGCTACCTACGGGGTGGTGATTTGCCTCTACTCTCCAATTTACCAATTCATTCTTCCAGTGCTTACTTTTGTTTTTAAGATTTAATTTTTTTAAGATTTTTTTATATGGACCATTTTTTTAAGTCTTTATTGAATCTGTTACAATACTGCTTCTGTTTTGTTTTGGTTTCTGGCCCCGAGTCATGTGGGACCTTAGCGCCCGGACCAGGGATCGAACCCACACCCCCTGCATTGCAAGGCAAAGTCTTAACCAATGGACCACCAGGGAAGTCCCCCAATGCTTATTTTTATAAGGGACTTATATAAGCAACTCTTGTTCTTTACTCTTTCATTTATTTAAACATGTTAAATGTATTCTTATTTTTGGTCTTGAAAATTCCACTACCCTCAATCTTTGCAATCTATATGCACTCTTTTTCTGCTGGCTTTCATTCAAAAGTCAAGGCATCCTGCGATTTGGGGGTTTGTGATTTATGACTCTGAGCTCATGTCCCTGTGGAAAGCGTTTGAAGGCTAAATTAAAGCTGAGCTCTTCTCGTGTGGATATGCAGTTGCTTTGGTCCAGAGCCCAGGGGCATTACAACTTAAGACCTCCCTAAGAACTTCACAGGGAAAATGTTTAGATCACATGTACCATGAGAATTTACACCCACATGAGGGACGGCTTGTAACTGAATTCTTAGGGATGCTTGTGCTCTCCTTTCCAACCAGTGCTGGCTCGCCCCAAGACTGAAGGCAGTCCTTTGGGAGCCCAGCTGTTTGCAAGGGTATCTCCCTGAAGGCTCATCTCCTGCCACCTGTCCCCCACAATCCATCCTCACGGGAGCTCGGTGTCACCAAGAGTACGTGCCCCTGGGGGGTAAACAGGCTCGCCCATCTTTCCGCAGTTCTGCTTTCACTTTGTTTTTGGCCTCAGAGGATGAATTCCTTTCTTGACAGCTCAGTGGCACATTTAAGAACATTTTTTAAAAGTTCCAACCAACATTTTGAGTTACCATCAGGTGGGCTGTTCAGAGTATCTGGTCTTTCACAGGTGGAAATGGAAGTCCTGGTCTGGTTCATAAAGTTACTGAAGGGCAATGATGAGGAAGCAGAGGCAGGGAACAGACACTGCTCTGCTTCGCTGAGTAGTTTGAAAGCGGGGAGTAGAAAGCTTAGATCGGTTGTGGTTTTGACTGTTGAAGGGCAGGGGCCTTTAACGGGAGATGCATGAGCTGCTTCTAGGAGAGCCAAGATGGAGGTTACTTCTTTCCCAATAAGAGAAGTCCAAAGAAGGCAGTCAAGAGCTGGGTTACAGTGGCATCATAAATATCACCCTCTCTGCTCCGGCTCTGTAAGCACCCTACAGCCCAAGGAGGCTGCAATCACATCTACAATGTCGGTCCTTCTTAAGAAGCTTGCCCAGAACTCCCAGCCAACTTCTGCCCACCTCCCTCTGGCAACCCGGAGCTCCAAGGGAGGCTGGGAGTTTAATCCTTAGCTGGTCCCACTGTTGCTCGAAAAGAGCTGGGGAATCCTGGCGCTTGTTAGGCAACTAGCAGTCCCTGACACTGGACCCAAACACTTACTGCCTGAGGCCCCACATCAAGGGAGAGGCTGAGATAGACGATGACTTACTAGAACGAAGTCCTGAAGAATATGAAGGAGAATGGGGTCAAAAGTACAGAGGCGCTGCTGAGCCGTGGAGGGCAGACCCGTCCCGACTGCGCTCTGGACACAGAGGACACGAGGCTACTGCAGGGATGGGCGGTGAGACTGGCCCCAGGGAACTCCTGGTAGCACATGAGTGACAGTTCCCCCGTGGAGTCACCGAGCGGGGGCAGCCTGCAGAGTGCGGGAAGCCTGGACCGTTGGCTGTGTGAACGTAAACATCAATAACACCTGTCGAAAAGGCTGTGTTTATTTATGAGGAACAACTGGTTTCCAGAAACAGGACAAAACCACTTCCATAGGAACACACTTCTAAAGCAGGCGACACAGGGGACTTCCCTGGTGCTGCAGTGGTTAAGAATCCGCCTGCCAACACAAGGGACGTGGGTTCGAGCCCCGGTCCAGGAAGATCCCACATGCCGCGGTGCAACTAAGCCCACGCGCCACAACTACTGAGCCTGCGCTCTAGAGCCCACGCACCGCACTACTGAAGCCCGTGCGCCTAGAGCCCATGCTCCGCAACAAGAGAAGCCACCGCAATGGGAAGCCCACGCACCACAACGAAAAGTAGCCCTCACTCGCTGCCAACTAGAGAAAGGCCATGTGCAGCAATGAAGACCTAAGAAGGCCAAAAATAAATTAATCAATTAATTGAACAAAAAAAAAGTAGGCGATACAGTCAAAACACATTTGGCCTGTCACACTTGAAAAGCACTTTGGCAAAATCTGGGCTTGTTATATAAGAAAACAGAATTTAAAGCTGGAAGTAATAAATGATGAAAAACTGAGGCATTAGTGACAGACGACCCCCTTCTAAGCGGCCCTTTCGCATCTCTCATAAAGTGTCTTTTGCATCCAGGACGACTTCTCTGAGGCACTTCGGGAAGAAGATGCCCCAGAAAGCCGTTCTGTCTGCAACCTCAGCACAAGAGGGTGTAAATTCAGGTCTGCAATGAGGTAGGTGTACACAACCTAACCGTATCCTTTTTCTCCTCTACAAAATAAGGAAAATAAAGAAGGATCAACTGTATTTGATTATCATCAGCCTTCCGTATCTGCAGGTTCCGCATCTGCGGATTCAACCAACCATGGACTGAAAAGACTCTGAGGACTGGAGAGCGAGCTGCGAGGGGCCTGAACATCCGAGGATACCCCACGGGGCTTCTGGAACCAACACCCACCGATGCTGAGGGGCAAGGGTCTTATTCCATCTCACTTCTCCCGATTACTTACTATCACAACTTCCTGGAACCACTTCTTACCAATACTAGAAAGGATTTCCTAGCACCTGTTCCACAGCCTTCCCCATACACCTTTCCTGCCAACACCAGGAGACAGAATCTCAGGATCTTTCTTGCCGGTGTTCCCTGGTCGCTGTGTGTTTCTGCTGTGGAATGAGACAAACTCAATGCTTAAGAGCCAAGCTGTATCACCTCTAGCACATCACAAATGCTCCAAATGAAACAGAAAGAAGTTAATGGTAAGTAACACAGCGAAGTCTCCCAGAATTAACTAACCTGCAGAAGTCTGCACGACAGGTTCGAAATCACAATACTAATTCTAGGACAGACGTGCTGCTCTCTCCCCCTTTTTAAATCAAGTTCAGTCAGAACGACTGAACAGCTTCCTGGGGCCTGGGAGCCATGTGGCCAGACAGAGCTCATCAACCAAGTCCATGGACACCTGAGCTTTTGAGCGCAAACCAAGTGCCCGAGTCTGGCATGGAGGCAAGATTTCACAGGAACACAGATCAAAGTGGCACAGCACATGTTGAGAATCACACCCTGCATGGGCTCCGCAGTGGAATGAAGTCTGCTGCCCTGTCACGGTGGACGCAGGCCCCGACCACACTCAGGCACAGCTCTCTCCCCCAGGAGTTGTGTGCACCACAGCTCTCAGGCCAACTCAGCAGCCACGCTTGCACCACCGCACTTCACTCTGATGGCAGCTGACAACAGAAAAACTAACCCACGGGACCAGGAGACGAGTGACAGAACTGACCAAGCAGGTCAGTGCAGAACTGACCCGCAACTAAAATTTCATGAGAAACCCTTCAAGGAAGACTATGACATAGAGTGTGTTTTCATCAGCAGTGCTGGCTCTCACGTGTAGAGAAACAAAGTCACTAACACAGATCATTCGGACAGATCAAATGGGTCACAGCTGCTTGTTATTTTCCAAATTACGGCAAAAATAAAGGACAATAATCTGAAGGAACTTTGTGCCCTCTCTGATTCATACTTTTAAGATTCAAACCAGCACCGAGTACTATATCACTCAACACAAGCATTAGGGAATAACAGTTCCCCTAATTATTCTGTTAATGTCAATTTGACAAGAAGTGGTAAATGCTAAGAGGGTTCTGGTTCAGAAAACATCTTGCTATATTTTTTACTGACTGATTGAGATACACGTTATCTATTAATGTGTGTGCTTATATCTATTTCCAAAAAAGAATTTAAGGTGACCTTTTACAGTAACTGAGACTGACATCTCAACAGCCTGAGACAAAACATTACTTTAACCAGAAAAAATATTTCACCCCAAGTGGCAGTAAATTGGAATCTTTTAGTTACTGCTTTGATAAGGCAGTATTTGTTTCCCAAAAATTATTGCCTATTTCTTCTAAATAGGATAAATACTAAGACTTCTTCCTACCAATTATACCTTTATCTTATTTGAGTTAATAATCCTGTTGCTACCTCTATAAAAGAATAAAAACAAATAATAATATAAATGCAAAGCTTACCTTGCCATTTTCCACTGTATAATTTACTCACATTACTAAAAAAAAAAAAAACCCTCCATATTTCTTCTTTTATAGTTTTATGTGAACAAACAGTGAACAGCTTTACAGCTTACCTAAAATACAAGTGAGGAAAACATAGACACCTGCCATACTAATATCTGGCTTTTATTTTTTCCTTAAGGAAATATTATTAATTTAAAAAGAGAGTTCCAAGAAATTTAAAAGGATTCCCAGCAATGATTACTTCTGAGACCTATGAGATTTGAAACATAGTTATAAAAGGCTAAAACCAAACTATACATTCCTACTTGTTCCTTTTAAAAAAAATTCAGATGACGTGTCACATCAAGAAAGCTCATCAGGTTACCAGGGCCGCAGCCTTAGTCATCCTCGGAATCACTGTCCCTCCTGGGAGGGACGGAGCACAGCACAGATGAAAGCAGCACATCTTCCATGGGTTTCTTAGGGTTTTCCTCCAGGCTTGTCTTGATTGCTCCAGACTCAGACAATTTCCACTCCAACTCTACATGATAAAGAAAAAGCAAATCGCCTAAGACACAGTCTGCATGGGGCCCTCAAGCCACAGTGTTTTTCTAAGCAGAAACTACGATCATCAACATTTGATGACAATTTAATTTGAGGGCCATGTTTATAAGGTGCCTGGAAGAAAGGGAAAAATCAGACCCTTAAGAAGGAAAAAAACACCTGCAAACACTTTTCCAGAAGATGAGGTCAAATGGGATATTACATACATTTGAACCTCTATGATAACTAAAATAAAAAACAGAGACTAAGTCTATCTTCTAACAGCTAGTTTCTCAGCTTGCACAATTTCCCAGGAAAGAAATCAGCATGAAACATGTAAAGGAAATACGTTTCACAGTCCTGCTGGCACTCTAATCATTAAATCTAAATTTAGTTAACAAAAGGAAATTCTTAAACCTCATGTCCAATATCTCAACCTATTAGAGTCAAAGGCTCAATGTATGATGACATCCTAGGTCTGATACATTTGTTCCAAGTAATAATAATTTTTAAAAGTACCAGAAAATAAAGAATCAGTGACTAAAGGCTCAGCTCCTATATTTTATGCTCTTGTAATCAGTGAAACTGCACATGGGTGTGAGACCTTGTGAAGCACAATCAAGTGATATATTTTTCCACTGCAGAAAAGACCCCAGGCAGGACTGAGGGACAGTTGAGAAATTCTACTACAAATAGCCTGGTTAAAGTGATGCTCTACCAATTAGAAACTTCTGTTAAAATCTGAACACCGATTTTACTGAGTCATGTTAATTCAAAGTGCTCCACCAGTATTTTCAGCTCTAGGTACCGTGGTTCAGTGTGATAAAAATTCAACGAATTTCTTAAAAATGACTTTTTTTAAGATTTCTGATTCTTAAGAATATATTTAAATTCACACATATGTATAAATGAATGCATTTAATGTTACTGTTCATTTATATGCAATCATCATTATTTTATAAGTACGCTAATCCTCAAATGAAACTTTTCCTAGAAATAAAAACTATAATTATTATCGTATACCTATCTCTCTTCCCTCATGGTATGTGCAAAAAGAAAGAAGCAAACCCATGTTTAGTTTGAAACGCCATATGCCTCTGAACACTGGAATAATGCATAACTGATGTAACATATATGTGTGTCTATGTATGTATGTATATGTTTATACTTTTCCCAGTTGAATATCTTACATAAAGAGTTACATAAAGTAGAATATAAAGTCATATTTTAACACACATTTTTAAAGACTACTAACTAAAGCACAGCTGGACATATTATTTCACTAAACAGATAAAGAATTCGACTTATCAAGAAACCTGCAGGCCTCAGCTTCTCTCTCTCATGTTATGTGTGCATATGTATTTTAACACCTCCTGTGTAACAGGCAGAAAAAAAAACCATATCCTTCAGGAGTTAAGAGGGAGAATAAACTTTTAATTTAAAAGCTACTATTCAACTGAGAAAAAATTTCTATAGATTTATATATATGTACATTTGTACATATGTAGATACATATAAGCATGTGTCACTAATAATGTTCATGTGAATTAAACAAGAAATGAGTGATGGGATCTTGAGCTACCAGTAAAAACAAACATATTCAACTGTAGGGCCAAATAAAACACATCAGACATTAATATTAAATATTTTAAGGTCCATCGTGCCTTCTTTTAACTGCGAATTACTACAGTCCAGTTGTAACTGCCCCCAATGACTTGCCTAAGATGACAGATTCAACGTGCTTCTTCCCTTTTTACAATCACTCGCACGGGGGCAAAGGTGAATCTGATAAGTCATCCTAATGTGTGTCTAGGAAACAGGCACCCTCTCAACAGAAGCATCTCCTCCCATCTCCCACGTGCACCTCAAAGAGGCCCTTACCATCCATTGTCAGGTTCATGCCACCAAACGCCAGAGGTCCAATAAATTGAGCCTTGATATCACCTTCAAGGTACACAAATACTGTGGGCAGATTCCTATCAGGATAGTTGGGTATGCAGGTGGTTGAAATGGCTTTGATAAATTTGACATCAGGAAACTTCCTGGCAAGTCCACTAAAGTGCTGATTTATCAGGGCACAGAGGGGAATCCTATAAAAAGAGAAACAGAAGCCACCTGTGATTCTGCATTTGTACATAATAAATCTCAACTACCCTTCTGCCCTATATAAAACCTCATAATGACTTCACAAGTGATTCTGCTACTCCAGCCAAGGTGAACTAACATTTAGAAAAAACTTTCTAACATGCTTAGGCAAAGGGAGGAACTCAAAATCCAAAGCCCAACTTAATCTGACTGAAGAATAAGTTAGAAACACAGCTCCAATGGAAAAGGTAACCGTCTTGCTCTTCTATAGACGAGAGCATTCAAGGCTTAAAACGCGTGATTCAGAAAGCATTTCCTGCTTCAAAGAAACTCCCTACACAGCATTAGACTCCACAGGATGGGAATAAAATTGGAGGTGAGAAGCGCCGGGGGTCCACTGCCTCACTCGCCATGGACAATTCTCAAAAAGGTCACCCTCGCCATCGACGAGAGTGACTCATTACATGGAACTGTGAAATGCCCGAGCTCCTCCAGAGGGACGAGTGACTAAGGAATTCATTTACAATTAAAAAAAAAAAAAAGTCTCCTCTGCTACACTGTAACAAAGGCATTCCTATTAGTCACATATTAATTTGAAAGTCTTAAGATAAAAATTAGGCTATAAGGTTTGGGCAAATCAGCAACAAAAACACTAGTTAAAAAAACAAAAAACAGGGCTTCCCTGGTGGCGCAGTGGTTGAGAGTCCGCCTGCCGATGCAGGGGACACGGGGTCGTGCCCCG